AGGTTTCTCATCGCTTTCCTCCCAAGAAGCAGGCGTCTTTTAATTTCATGGCTGCTGTCACCATCTGCAGTGATCATGTCACTGCCTCCATATCTTCCCCTTCTATTTGCCAGGAGGTGATGAGACCAGTGGCCATGATCTTAGGTTTTGGGGTTTTTTTTTTTGATGTTGAGCTTCAGACCATTTTTGTGCTCTCCTCTTTCACTATCATTAAGAGGTTTTTTAATTCCTCCTCACTTTCTGCCTTCAGAGTGGTATCATCTGCATATTGAAGGTTGTTGATATTTCTTCCGGCAATCTTAATTCCATTTTGGGATTCACCCAGTCCAGCCTTTTTCATGATGTATTCTGCATATAAGTTAAATGAGCAGGGAGACAATATACAGCCTTGTCGTACTCCTTTCCCAATTTTGAACCAATCAGTTGTTCCATATCCAGTTCTAACTGTTGCTTCCTGTCACTCTCCCTATCTCATGGTTATTACAGAAAATTGGGCCAGTTGACCACAATCCCAAACATTATGCCAGGCAATGAGTTTTCAGATCCAAGAAAAAGATATGGATGCTTCTTCAATGAATAACCATCATGCCACTTTGAACATTCCCAGTGTCATCTGATTTGGGGGGCTACCATGAGTAGGCTCTGATTAGTACTTCAATGGCAGATCACCAGGGGGTACCAAAAACCAAGGGGAGCTAGGAAAGAAATCCCAGAAAGCCATTGTCAGGGCTAGATAGATAATGAATTGACTCAGTACATCCTTTCTAATGCTCCTTATAGAACCATAGTATCATAGAATAATGGAGTCTGAAGGGATCAATAAGGCCATGAAGTCCCACCCCTTGCTCAAAGCAGAAATCTAAAGCAAAATATATTTCCAAAGATGGTTGTCTAATTTTCTCTTTAATGCTCCAGTGCTAGAGTGCTCGCCACTTCCTGAGGCAATCGTTTCCATTGTCAAACTGTTCTAACAGTTGGGAGGTATTTCCTGATATTCAACTGAAATCTGGCTTTCTGTGACTTGAACCCATTTTTACATGTCCTGAACTCTGGAATGATTGGGCATAGAACCTGCCCTTCCTCTGTATGATTATCTTTCAAGAATTTGAAAAGTGCTATCATATCTCCCCTCAGTCTTCTTTTCCCAAAGTTAAACACGCCCAGTTCTTTCAGTTTTCCTTCATAGGACTTGGTTTCCAGCCCTTTGGTCTTCCTTCTTGCCCTTCTTCCAGTTTGTTGCCTTCCTTCTTAAAGTGCAATGTTCAGAACTGGACACAGTACTCAAGATTAAGTCCAACCAGAGACAAATAGAAGGGAATTAATATTTCATGGGATTTGGAGACTATACTTCAGTTAATGCAACTTAAATTAGCATTGGCCCTTCTTGTGATCTACAACAATTCCAAGATCCTTCTCACTCATAGTATTACTGAACCAAATAGTTTCTGTCTTGTAACTGTGCGTTTAGATTTTTTCTCCTCCAAGTTGTAGAATTTTGCACTTATCTTCATTAAATGTCACTCTGCTATGTTCAGCTCAGTGCTTGACCTTATCAAGATTTTTTTTTGTCTTCCAGGGTATTAGCTACTCCACCAAACTTTGTGTCATCTGACTATCTGATAAGCATTCCCTGCATGCCCTCATCCAAGTCATTAATAAAAATGTTAAACAACACCAGGCCCAGGACTGAGCTTTGTGGTACCCACTCTGAGAAGAGGCTATTGATAAGCATTCTCCCAGTACGTTTCTGTAACCAACTGTGTATCCACCTGCTCAATGTTCTGTTCCACTCACACCTAGTTAGCTTGCTAATCAGAATATGGGGGGACACTTTGTCAAAAGCTTTGCTGAAGTCAAGATATATTACATCTTCCCACTACCAGGGAGGTTACCTCGTCAAAAAATGATATAAGATTCACAATCCACTGCCCAGAAAAAAATGAAAGCAGATTATGTGCCTTGTTCTCACTGTTGTAATAGCCAAGGAAGATGAGGAGGAGAGACGAAATGTAAGCAGTTGCTTTTCTGCCCACTTCTAGCGATGAGAAAGTTCAAAGGAGGGAGGAAGAGGGCCTGGCATTTCTGGACGGGGGAGCAAAAGAGTAGAGGTGGCTATTGAATGTTTCGTCACCAGCCATCCCTATCCAGTCATCTGCTTTTCCTTCTCAAGTGGCAGTGCTAAAAGCGGCCCTCCTAAGCAGCCGTCTTCAAATGCCCATTTAACTTCAGGTGGAGTTCACCGGCTTCTCGTGCAGGCAAGAAAAAGGGCCGCTCCTTTGCCCAGGCAGCCCTGGAGCACCCGAAGAGAAGCCCCATTCAGGGGCCAGAGTCGTTCCTGTTGGAGTTCACCGGCTTCTCGTGCAGGCAAGCCAAGGGGCCGCTGCTTTGCACAGGCAGCCCCACAGCACCCGAAGAGAAGCCACATTCAGGGGCCAGAGTCGTCCCTGTGCTTTGTTTTCCCTGTTTCTTTCTCTCTCACTCTCTTTGTTTCCTTCTCTCTTTCTTCCTCTCCCACCAACCAGCCAGCCGCCACCTTCCTTCACCCCACGGCCGGGTTACCTCCTAGCCTGGCGAACTCCCTCTGGCGCAGCCCCTCGGGGCTCTCCCCGCGGTAGCCATACGCCGCCCCGGGTGGGAGCTGGCGGAGGAAGGCCTGGAAAGACAGCCGCTCCCCCCACGGCTCCATGGCTCCGGCCGAGCGGGCCAGCCTCCTGGCAACCCGAAACCGACGGCAAGGACAGCCCAAGGAGCCCAAAACAGGAACGAAACTTGGCTTATATGGCACGGGAGGCGGTGGCTTCGGCTCCGCCCCGCCATGTCTCCGGGACAGCCGGCAGCCGCTCTTCGCTCGGTCGAAACTTTGCCCTGTCCTGCCCTCCCCTTTCAGCGTGAGGCAACCGCCGCCGCCGCCGAAGAAAAAGAAGGCGGGAGGCGCCGCCGCCGCCGCCAAGAGCAGTCGGGCCCAAGTCGCCGCATTTGAGGCTTGCACCTGCTTCACCTTTCCTACTGGAGGCGGCAAAGGCGGGAAGAGAGGAGAAGAACGCTTGGTTCAGTGAAGCAAACCCACTGGGCGAAAGCGGAGCGCCCGAGGTGACCCAGACGCCTGCTGAGGCGGGAGTTTTGACCCCGTCTTTTAAATCCAGACTTAACCAGAGCTGGGAAAGTCTCTTTTAGACAGAAACTATTTATTCATTTTTTTTCCTTCTTCTCTGACTGGTCTTTCTTACAGAAACTTGTTGCAAAACCCCTACCCCAGAAATGTTGTTACTGTTTTATCTTGTGGAAATGTTTCAGTAATTCATGACATAGTTACTTTTTCTTTACTACAAAAAAAAATATATATATATGGCAAAATCTAAAGAAACAAAAAAACAAAACAAAGCAAAAAAATTAAAACATGTGGCACCTTAAAGACTAACTATGATGTTTTAAGGTGAGCTTTCGTGGACAAGAATATGGTGCAATTCCACACATTTCTAAAAATGCTCCTTAAAATGTTTTTTAAATGTAACCAGAAAGCATTATTTGCCTCCTTCTCCCATCATGTCATTCCATTTGTTTGGTTGCTTCATGGCTGGAGTTCCTTTTCATCCTCATTTCTGGAAGAAGAAAAAATTATAGGTGACTGCATTACTTGTAATTCATTGGTTTGAATGTAACCACCACATCATTAATTAGCACTATTTTGCCCCCTGAACTCTGTGTAGAAGGAAATCAAGGCTGAACTCTCTCTCTAGAAACAAACATGACTAGCCCTGGGCTGTAATATTTGAGGCACATTATGAGAAAAGAAGGCTCACTGGAAAAGCCAACAGTTACACATATGGAAATAAACCGAATTCCAGCCATTGCTTCCAAGCAATAACAAGAACCCACAAAAGGATACTCCACCAACTTGAAGAACCAGGTTAATAATGAGGGAAGCATGTCGGGCAAGATAAAAAAGGTTTTTGTGTTTTGGACTTATGAACTCCTGTAATTCTTGCTGCTAAATGACTTATAGCTGGACTTTATCTGACATACTTTCTTGAGCAATACTGTTCTACTTGAAAAGATTTACCTGTTCAGCTACTGTATGCAAGTTACTAAATGGAAAGAATAGTTACAAAAGGCAAGTTTTCCTGAAAGAAAGACTGTTTGAACATCACCTGTACTGTGCAGCCACAGAAGATTTAAGTGCTTATTAAGGTACATTGTCAGTTCAGTCTGACATCAATGGAATGTCACGTTCACCTCTGTGGGAAAGTTTCATACTTCGTAATAGATAAGATAACATTTAGTTAATAGCTAACTAGGCAGCACAAATTGTCTTATGACAAAAAGTATAACCTAACTGGTTATACTTTTTTTTATTATTATTGCTCAGTAGGTACTAGTAGGTATTTGTATCTGATGGAACATACTGAAATGGAAATATTTATATCTTACAACAGGCTTGAGATACAATATTGATTTTAAATATTTATAATAAAAAACAACACACACACACACACACACACACAGAGAGAGAGAGAGAGAGAGAGAGAGAGAGAGTGTGTCAGATCTTTTCCAAACTAGGCCTGTGATTCATGCCCATTATGTTCTGTCATGTTTAAACCCTTTGTGTTTGTCTATGACATATACAGGAGGGATTTCTGCTGAGTGCCAAAATCACCTGCACTTTCTTGTAGTTAACTCACTCTACCATAGTGGCATGCTTGTGGCTCCAAACAACACAAAACATTGCAGAATTTTGACACACATTTGGAGGAGACATGAGTATGACAATTATTTCTAACAAAGCTGGAGTCCCACAGCTTTTGTTGTTCGGTAAGTTGTGCCAGAAGTCAGGATGTCTAAAAAGATCATGGAGCCATTGATGCTTTTACTTAACCATCTGAAATATGCTTCCTTTGCTTAATACATTCACCTTATGCCTTCCATAACATTTTCTTTGTTATTTTGTAATCGCCTTCCCAGTAGACATGTTACAACTCTTTCAGATAGCACACTTTATTTGCTGCTATTATTATTCAGTTCCAGGATTGTGATAATTACTTTAACAATACTGAACAAATATTATTTATTTATTTATCTCATTAAATAAGCTGATGTAAAAACACACCTGCATGTAGGCGAAATTCATAATGACCAGCCTGTCAGTCTTGAGCCTCTGTCCTGCCCAAACTGTTCTGAGGTTCCTATTTCAAGGTGTTAGTTCAAATCTTTATGGCTTAGAGCTTTGCTATCCAAGGGACCACCTAGCTCAGTGATGGCGAACCTATGGCACACGTGCCATAGCTGGCACATGAAGCCCTTTCTTTTGAAGTGGCTGCAGCTGGGATTCCCCCTTTCTCTTCCTGTTCTGGGTCCTTTAACTTCCTCTCTGTCCCCATGATTCCCCCTTTAACTTCCTGTCCGTCCCCATGATTCCTCCTTTAACTTCCTGCCCATCCCCATGATTCCACCTTTAACTTCCTGTCTGTCCCCATGATTCCCCCTGAAACTGCCACTTCCTGTTCTGCTTCTGGTCTTCCGGGTGGCACGGCAGCCACTGCTTTCTTCCCCACTCCCTCATTTTGGACACTTAAGCTGAAAAAGGTTTGCCTCCACTGACCTAGCTCATTACAAGCCTACACTGATACTTAGATCTACAGGAGAAGCTGTTTGAATATACTATTGTTTGGTGGGCATCCAAGAGAGAGCTGGACAATCATGCAGGCTATCTCAGTTTTGCATTTGTGTATGTGTGTATTCAAGAAATACCAGCTGTTTGGAATTATTACAATTTTGCAAAGAATGACATCTTTTCTGTGTAGGATTTATCTTTTGTTGTTGTTGTATAGTTGTTAAGTCATCTCTGACTCTTCGTGACTCCATGGACCAGAGCATGCCAGGCCCTCCTGTCTTCCACTGCCTCCCGGAGTTGGGTCAAATTCATGTTGGTAGCTTCGGTGACACTGTCCAACCATCTTGTCCTCTACCGTCCCCTTCTCCTCTTGCCTTCACACTTTCCCAACATCAGGATCTTTTCCAGGAAGTCTTCTCTTTTTGCTAGATGGCCGAAGTATTGGAGCCTCAGCTTCAGGATCTGTCCTTCCAGTGAGCACTCAGGATTGAAGGCTTCATCTAGAATGACCATTAAACTGTGAAGAATTCAGTAGTTTCTTGTTCAAGATTCATCTAGAAAGAGCAGAAGAAACACCAAGCTGCTCAGGATTTTTACACTTCTGCAGAATGACATTTTTCCTGTACAAGGTTTACCTGGAAAGACCAGAAGCAAGGTCAGATAAGTGGGATTATTACCATAGCTGCAAAGGATGGCAACTCACCTGGGCATTAAGTTGAGCAGAATTTGGCAGGTTTGTGTGCAGAACAACCAGTGAGCAAGCAAGAGAAAAGGGAAAGGAAGGGCAATGCAATGCAGTGCAATGCAAGTGAAAATGACACCCAACTTGTCTTTTCACATGAAGCTATGAAGTCTTTGACAGAGTTGCAGGATTACCAGGATGTGCTAGGTGGTGCTAACCAGTAGAATTCCCCAGAGAGATGAAGACACCAAGCAATAAGACAGGGTTGATAGCAGAAAAGTTATATTAACTCAGTTTGTTTTTAGAATATCTACATACACATACAGCTTTGTCCTTGTTTCCAGTCCTGTTGTCATACACAGCAGTTCCAACAGAGTTCAGGCATAAATCAAGTCAAAGTCCTTGTAAATCAATTCAGCAGTCATATACCATATAATTCAGTCCAGCAGTCAGAGTCCTTCTCCAGTATTCTCTATGACGACACAGCACTTTCCATGACCACAACACCACAGAGTATGTGTGCTGGGTCTGCTTGCTTTTTCCCAGGGTTAGCCAATCCTGGGATTTTTTTCTCAGCTGATACGAGTCTTTGTATTACCCCAGCTGCATAAATTCTTACTTTACTTTCTTAGCAATGATTCTTACACTTACTTATAGTCTTTGACTGCTTTTATACAAAACTGGATTTAACAATTCTCCAGGTTTATCTCAAACCTGTCAGTCTTGCTGGTGCAAAGGAAAGACTCAACAAGGAATCTCATCATTATGAAGTTTACAAAATCGCCAAAGACAAGAAATATTTCAAGCACTTATCACATCTCTAGTTGATGCCATATTGTGAAACACGCTTCCCTCAGAGTTGTGATCAACTTTCACTCTCTCTACTTTTAGGAAGGGTATGAAAACACAGATCTTCAGCTGGTCTTTTAAACTGTTTTAATGTTTACTTATTGATGTTTACTCATTGTTGTGATCATTTTAGAAGTTTTACATCTTTATTTTTAATTATGACAGTTGCCTTGAATGGCTACAATATAACAAAATAAACTAAACTAAACCATTCATCTAAGCTCAGGACCTTTTCACAACAGAGTATTCATTTTATAAAAATTCCCAGCTATGGCTTGCCATATTTATTACATTTCTTTGAGTGGCATTTATTTTACAAACTTGATTTTCCAAGGCCAGTATACTCTATTTCAGGCTGTTTCTGAGTTTCCAAATTTTGACCTATAGACCTATTTTCTTTAACCTGTTTCTCTTGATTGTCTTAACCATGGCCTGCTTTGACATTTAATGACTCCTTAAAATATTTCATTTCATCTTAATTCTTTCATTTACATCAGAAGTGAAAAATATAGCAAAAACATGGATCATGAATTAAACAAGGACAATACAAAATCAGGATGATTCAAATTTAAGATGAGAGTGAATCTAATACATATTTTCATATTTCCTTTAATATCCTCTAAAAGATGTAGGGGGAAAAGTTTAAGAAAGTGCATGTTCAAGGACAACCAAGTACAAAAATAAGAATCTGAAAAA